TGGCTCTTTTCCAGTCTGCCTGTGGGCATATTTTTTCACATTCTTTCTACTTAAAAGAGGTAAAACTCCAAAGTTATGGTTTATAAAAATTATTATTTTTGTACAGGTTCTTGCTATGTAATTCAGGGTGGATTTGAATTTACTGCAGAATGCTGGGTGGTCTTGAACTCTTAGAAATCCTTTTGCCCTAGCCACTGGAGTGTTAGGATTACAGGTGCGCGCTCTCATGGCTAGATACCCAAACTTATGCTTTTGTATGCTAAAAATTATGTAAAATAATTTGGCATTATGCCATTTGAACACACATGTTGTGGTGATAAACTCTTGGTTTTTTGCTTGGAGACATTGTTTTCCTCTCCTCTTGGAACCTCAGCTAAAGGATCAAGGCAGCATCATGAAGTTACTATTCACTATTCATTTGGCTCCTGTCTTAGTTACTTTTCTCATTGCTGAGACAAAAAATACCCGACACCTGAAGTTAAAGGAGGAAAGATTTATTTAGCTCACGGTTGGTAGAGGTTTCTGTGTATAGTTGGGTAGCTCCATGGCAGAGGGCATCACAGAGGAAAGGAAGTCCATGGCAAAGCAGGAGGCAGAAGCTGGCCAGCACTGAAGCAGCAAGCTGCAAGGCCTGAGCAGCAACCTTCTTCTGCCCCTCCCCATCTCCTGGGGCAGGTAGCGCTCACATCCAGGGCAGATCGTCATTAATCCTAGCATCGTACCATGCGTCAATCCTGCCATCATGTCCTTAATCCCAGCACACACACTGTAGGTCTAGCCACCTCCAAAATGCTCCACCTGTGACTGAATGAAGCTTCTGGGGACACCTAGATGCAAGCCGTTACGGTTCCCATTGTTGGCATTCAAAGGTCATTTGTTCTAATAATTCTTCCTTTGTGAAATCTACCCTTTTTTTTTTTTTCATTTTTTTTTCAAAGTTTTATTGATAAACAGATAGCAATGAGACAGTTAAGTCTACCCTTTTCATTTTGCTGTTTTTAAGATTTTCTTTTTGCTTTTGTGGATCTTAATTTGAATTCTGACATTTCTGGAAAGTTCTTAGCTATTATCTTTTCAGACATGGCCTTTTTTATTGTCTGCTTTTTCCTACATTTTATGCATGTCAGACTTCCTCACCTGCATTCTCAACCTGGGATTACACCAGGCCTGGCTGCCTGATTGATTTCTGTTGCTCCTTATGCCTTGCTCATATTTCTGTTTATTTCCTAAGCCTATTAAATATCCTCATGTATTGGATCAGGTTTTTTCAGCCTCTTAAAGTTCTGAGGTTCTGTTTCTACCTTTTCTTTTTTCTGTTTTTAAATATTAGTACCTTATTTTCTATGTTCTGTGACTTTATGTATTTTTGCTATGACTCATGTGTTTTGAAAATTTTATCAGCAGAGATTTGAATCTTGATTAAAGTTGCATTTTCTTATTCTTTTTTTTT